GTTAGTTTTGAAATTATGTTTTAACAATTTCCTGTTTTTAAAGTCCTTCAGTTGTTTTAACAATTCCATCTCTGCCTTGTCTTGAATGGTTTTGTCTGTTGTGAATTGTCTGGTTGGTCCTCATGGGCTGGGAGATAACATCCACATACTGTAAATAAATAATATAGTGGGATATGTAAAACTGATATTCATATCTTGAATGAATTACATGCCAGCCATAGGCATCCTCTTTCTCATCTTGTTCCAGAGTGCTGTTGTGAGGCTAAAGCAGGCATGGGCAAACTTCGGCCCTCCAGGCATTTTGGACTTCAACTCCCACAATTCCTAACAGCCTACCGGCTGTTAGGAATTGTGGGAGTTGAAGTCCAAAACACCTGGAGGGCCAAAGTTTGCCCATGCTGGCGCTAAAGGGAGAAGAAACAGAGCCATCTCCTCTTCAGCTCTGAGAAGGAAGAACAGCAAATGAATGGAAATAAGAAATATACCAGAAATTTAAAGTATTTCTGAAAAAAGGACATTTTGATTTTCACCAATTAAGTCAGAAGCATATTTTCACCACAAAAGAGTGTAAGGTTCTGATTGTGTAATGAGAGTTCTTGGGTAACTTAGGTCAGAAAAGATTTGAAGGAGCACAGCACCCAAGCTACTTTCCTGGATATTTTTTCCAGGTTTCCCATGTCAGTGAATTCGCTCTGGATATTAATCCAAACTCTAATAGGAGCTGCCCAAGGCAAAGAGTTTGTTACCACTTTAATAGAGTTTGATACCACTTTAACTACCATGGCTCAATGTTAAGGTATCACAAGAGTAGTGGTTTTACAAGGCCTTTAACAATCTCTGCCAAAGAGTGCAGGTGCTTCCCCAAACTACAGCTCCCAGGATTTCATACCATTGAGCCATGGCAGTTAAAGCGGTGTAAAACTGCATTTCTTCTACAGTGTAAATGCACCCTAGAGCCATTTGATTCCTCGGGCATTGATTATATGTCTCCAATCCCTTGAGGGGAAATGAGAAGGAATTTTAAATCTGGTTAAACAGAACTCAGGGCCCTTCCACACAGCCCTATCTCCCAGAATATCAAGGCAGAAAATCCCACAGCATCTGCTTTGAACTGAGTTATCTGAATCAACACTCAGATAATGTGGGATTTTCTGCCTTGATATTCTGGTATATAGGGCTGTGTGGAGGGGCCCTCAGTGACAAGACACAATGGGCTTCTCAGAAACATTCTTCTCTTCCTTTCTATCATCTGTTCTGTCTCCTTCCCATCTTATTCCTCCTTCCATATTTTTAACTCCTTCTTTCATTCTTCTTTCCCTCTCTTCTGCTCATTTTTCTCTTCCCCATTTCTTTCCTTCTCCATTCTTTCATATTTTTTCTTGCTCTTTCTTCTGACTTTCTCCCTGTTCCTTAATTTTCTCATTTCCCATTTCTTCTTCTTTCCTTTTTTCAATCCTTTCCTATACTTTCCTATCTTTCCTTTTTCTATTCTTTTCCCTTTTCATCTTCCTTTCCCCCTTTTTTACCTTTCTGCTTTTCTCTCTATTTTCTTTTCTTTCCTTTTCTACTTTTTCCACTGGAAATCCCTTCCTGTTCTTTTTGAGTTTTCCATCCATGGCTGGGTCCCTTTTCTTCCCTTTGCTCTCTCCCTCTCTCTTTCTCCTTCCTTCCTTCCTTCCTTCCTTCCTTTCTTCCTTCCCTTTTAACTTTCTTTTCCATTTTCCCGTGTGTACTTTTTTACTTCCCCCTTTTTCTACTTCCCCTTTCCATTTTCCTCTTCATTTTCCCTTTTTGCTTTCCTCTCCCACCTCTGTCTTTTGCTACTTTCATTTTCGTTTGCCTTTTCTCTCTTTTCGACTTTTCTTCCTGATCCTTTATTTTAAAACTTTCATCTTTTTCTATTTCCTCCTCTACTCTCCTTTCCTATTATGGTCTTTTCTTACTTTTCTTTCCCATTTTCCTACAGTTCCCTTTTTTAAACTTCATTTTCCTCTTTCCTTTCCCATTTTCATTTTTTTACTTTTTTTACTTCTTTTTCATTTTCCCCTTTTCTACTTTTCTTCCCCATTTTCATTTTTTTTCATTTTACTTTCCTGCCTTTTTTCTACTTTCCATTCTTTTTTGCTTACCTCTTTTTTAAGTGTTACTTTTTTTCTTTTTCTACTTTTTTTCAGATGCCTAGACATTTCTTTTCCACTTGCTTCCCCTTTCCCTTTCAAGTTGATTCTCCTCTCCCAGTTTCTCCTTTTCTCCTTTTCTCCCTCCTTCTTTTCTTCCTTCCTCTTCCCTTCTATTTTCCTTTCTTTTCCATTTACTATCAGACCTTTTGCCCTGGTTCTATCATCAGAACATTTTTACTAGTCTTGGTTTCATTTGTTCCAAAACTGTCCAGAAATGGAGTCACCTGAAATAACCCAATAGAGAATAAATAAGAAACCACCACAAAGTTTCCACAGAGGAAATGGGTGGGGGGTTCCTGGAAAAAGCAATGAAGCAAACACTTGTTTTAATACATCCATCTCATTTTCAAACTCACTCTGTTGGATTTCTCCCTTTTTGAGCGTGACATTGTGAATAACCAATGTTTATTATTTAATCTCAGTTGAGGAACCAAATCATCTGAACCTTCTCCTCTCCTTTCTTTTACTTCTTCATCATCCAGGCAAGAGGCATCTTATAACTGATTTTAATTGATCTATCTTTTTTTATAGAAAAAAACAAAACAAAGTGCATTGTATTGAACTGGTCTCGCAAAGGTTTCTCTTCTCTTCACAAGCCGAAATATCTTGGTATAAATTAATAAAAGGTTAAGATGGCAATACCACATGACCATGGAGACTTTCTTCAGAAGGAAAGCGAAATGTACATATTCATTGTTTATACACAGAAAACCAAAGCCCAGCAATCCACATTTTTCAAAGTCAGTTACAGCAAGTGAACAATATGTGGATTTTTTTTCGAAGTAGAAATAAGGCAGAAATAGCTCACCATAAAATATTTTACAAACTTGTGTGTGTGGTTGTGGAATGTGTTTCTTACTTGTTTTAATCTCCTGTCCTGTATTTTTTATTTAAAAAAAAATAAAACTCCATACTAATCATTAAGCAATTTTACTGGCATATGAAACATGTCTTGATGCTTGCAAACAAAAAAATTGTGTGGGTTGTATTTATTCATTAGTTTTCTTTTCTAAGAATTTGAGAGGGAATATAAAGACTGTGTGGGCTGCAAACCTGTAATGCAGGCATTCACTTCTTAAAACATCTCCAGCTGGGTTTCAAATGGACTGACTCGCAGTCAGTGTGCAGAGGACCAAAGTCATACTATTCCTTGAACAACTGTGCAAATTTCCAGTGTTGCATGGTGCATCTACACCAAGTATGGGCAAATCCAGGGGGCTTAAGTGGCTGAGGGGGGAAAGGAAAGGACCTGAGGCTGTTAGGAATGGTAGGAGCTGAAGTTCAAAATACCTGGAGGGCCCAAATTTGCTCCTGCCTGGTGTAGATTAGGGCAGCAGATTAAACTGCTGAGCTGTTGAACTTGCTGACCAAAGGTTGGTGGTTTGAATCCGGGAAGTGGGGTGGGCTCTTGTTGTTAGGCCCAGCTTCTGCCAACCTAGCAGTTCGAAAACTACATGGTGTAGATCAGGCATGGGCAAACTTTCTAATTTGGGGGCTGCATGGTGGGCTGGAACGGGGGGGGGGGGTGGGCAGGGGGTTCTCCCCAAGTCCCCTTCCTGCTCTTTCCTCCCCTTCCTCTTCCCTTTTGGAGGCAGAAAGTAAAGACAGGAAATGTTTGGATCCCAAAAGGATTAACCTTGGTCAGGATGAGATGGAGGATGGGAAAGGAAAAAAGTGTATCCATTAGACCAGTGCTTCTCAACCTGTGGGTCCCCAGATGTTTGGGGCCTACAACTCCCAGAAATCCCAGCCAGTTTACCAGCTGTTAGGATTTCTGGGAGTTGAAGGCCAAAACATCTGGGCACCCACAGATTGAGAACCACTGCATTAAACCCTGTATTGCCTACTCATGAAATCCTGGAATCCTAGAGCTGGAAGAGACACCCAAGGGCCATCCAGTCCTACCTACTCCCTTCCATGCAAGAAGGTACAATCAAAGCTCTCCCAGGAAAAGCTTCCAGAGAAGGAGACTCCACCACATTCTAAGGCAGCCTAAGCCACTCTCCAACAGCTCTTACTCTCAGGAAGTTCTTCCTAACCTTTTCAGTCAAATCTCTTTCCATGCCATTTGAAACCATTGCTCCCTTGTGCCCTGGTCTCTAGAGCAGCAGAAAGTCAGTTTTTCCCCTCCCTCCTCCTCATCTTGAAACATGGTTCTCATGGTCTCTTGCTATCGCTACCATCTCTTCTCCCAGCTAAACATCCCCCAGGAGGAAAGGAGGAAGGAAAAAGAGAAGGAAGGAAGGGTGGAAGGAAATAGAGGGAGAGAGGGAGGGAGGAAAGACAAAAGGGAAGGAAGGAAAAAAGCAGAAAGAGAAAGAGGGAAGGAAGGAAGGAAGAGGGAGAGAAGGAAGGGAGAGAAGGAGGAAAGAGATAGGATGGTGAGAGAGAGGAGGGCCTGAGAACCCAATGGGCCTGAGGCTGTTAGGAATGGTGGGAGTTGGAGTCCAAAACACCTGGAGGTCCCAAATTCCCCCATGCCTGTTGTTGGTGCACCTTTAGATCCTTCCTTTTCAACTGTGCATCCCTTGGGAGTGGTTGTGAATGCGCTATGCCTGCATCCCGGCTTAGAAGCGGTGCCAAAACTGCATTCCTTGTACAATGTAGACGCACCCTAGGAACCAAAGTATACTACACATCCCCTATATTATTCACAGTTCAAAGAAGTCCAACAGCCGCTCGCTTGTGGGCGACGTGCTTATGTTCAATCTTAAATGTATTTACAAAAAGTCAGCCAGAATTTGTTTTTTTTGTCAGGAGCGACTTGAGAAACTGCAAGTCGCTACTGGTGTGAGAGAATTGGCTGTCTGCAAGGACACTAGGATGTTTTACCACCCCGTGGGAGGGTTCTCTCGTGTCCCTGGCCTTTTTTGGAAAGGAGAGCCCCCTTTTTCAAGAGTCAGGGAAGTTGGGAGTGGTCTCTCCTTTCTGTCTGTCTGTCTGTCTGTCTGTCTGTCTTTCTTTCCTTCCTTCTCCTCCTGCGGATGGATAGAAAAATAGAGCTGTATGTACACGTGTCCTCCGGAGAGTCCCTCGCCTAAGAAGAGCCCTCGTTCTCCGACGTGTGGAGCAGGAGCCCGGCCCCGGCCGCTCCTCCTCCTCCTCCTCCTCCTGCTCCTCCGGCCTTGTGCTTCTTGAGCAGCTGGGCGATCTTCTCGTCGTCGGAGTTGGGGTCCAGGGGCCGGTTGTAGTCGTCGTCCTCCTCCTCGTTCTCCGAGGCGCCCTTCAGCCTCTCCGTCTCCGAGTCCTGCTTCTTCTTGGCCGTCGCCATCTCTGCCGCGTGCTTCTTCCGCCACTTGGTCCGGCGGTTCTGGAACCAAACCTGGGAGGAAAGAAGGAAGGAAGAGAAGCAAGCGGGAGAGAGGGAGGGAAACACAAGTGAGCGGAAGGAAGGCAACAGGTTGATCAACAAGAAGAGGAGAGTCAACAGTGTGATTGATTCACACTGCAGTTCAAAGCCAATGCGATTGGAGGCTGCACTCCTACTGAGATAGCCACGGGATCAAGGGAAGTTATAGTACCATTCTGATTATTATTATTATTATTATTGTTATTATTATTATTATTATTATACCCCTGTTCGGGTATCAGCCAGCACGTCAACGACTTAAATCAAGAAATAGTTTTCTAAGATCTACAGCAGCCATGGGCAAACTTGGGCCCTCCAGGTGTTTTGGACTTCAACTCCCACAATTCCTAACAGCCGTAGGCTGTTAGGAATTATGGGAATTGAAGTCCAAAACACCTGGAGGGCCCAAGTTTGCCCATGACTGATCTACAGAGACAATCGCTGGAACACCTCAGCAAGCCAAAGTCCAAAAGTGGCAGGCTCAAACCCAGAACCTCAATCAATGGCTGATACCAAATGAGAGACTCCCCCCTGGGCACACAGAAGACTGGGTGACTTGGAAGGCGCTGAACAGACTGCGCTCTGGCACCACGAGATGCAGAGCCAACCTTAAGAAATGGGGCTACAAAGTGGAATCCACGACATGCGAGTGTGGAGAAGAGCAAACCAGACCACCTGCTGCAATGCAACCTGAGCCCTGCCACATGCACAATGGAAGACCTTCTTATAGTAACACCAGAGGCACTCCAAGTGGCCAGCTACTGGTCAAAGGACATTTAATCAAGTACCAAGCTTGCAAACTTTGTGTTTTGCTTGTTTGTTTGTTTGTTTGTTAAAAATGCAATACAACTGTTTGGTTTGCTCCTGACACGATAAATAAAATTATTATTATTATTATTATTATTATTAGACTACGGGCAGACGAGGGCCGGATCTTTTTTTTTCACTTCTCACCCCAGTAGGGACACAAAGCGGTTTCCAATATAATTATGGCAAAATGTAATTAAAAATTAAAATTAAAAAATTAAAAATTATTTAATTATTGTCCCAACACAGGTGATTTGATGATAAAAGCCTTTGAGAAGGTCATGACATAGATAAACTGTCCAAATCTAAGATGAGCACACCAACATGTCCAAAACTGAACTAGACACACCCCATAGGCTATCCAACATGCCAGAATATATCTGGAAACCTACAGCCATTGGGGGGGGGGGGGCAATAGTCTTACTGAATAAAAGAGACTACATCACAGAAGTTAACAGACACTTCTCAGATAATTCATTCTATAAAACAATGCCTACAGATCCTTCCAAAAATGCAATGCATCACATAGCGAAACCTAACATAACGATAATAACATACAATAAAATCAGTGGTTCTCAATCTTCCCAATGCCTCGGCCCCTTAATACGGTTCCTCATGTTGTGGTGACCCCCAAGCTATAAAACAATTTTTTTGCTACTTCACAACTGTAAGTTTGCTACTGTTATGAATTGTAATGTAAATACCTGATATGCAGGATGTACTTTCATTCACTGGACCAAATTTGGCACAAATACGCTCAAATTTGAATACTGGTGGGGTTGGCGGGGTTTGATTTTGTCATTTGGGAGTTGTAGTTGCTGGGATTTATAGTTCACCTACAACCAAAGAGCATTCTGACCTCCACCAATGATGGAATTGAACCAAACTTGGCTCAAAGAAAACACTGGACAGGTTTGGTGGGCATTGACCTTGGGTTTTGGAGTTGTAGTTCACCTACATCTAGAGAGCACTGTGGACTCAAACAATGATGGATCTGGACCAAACTTGGTATGAATACTCAATATTCCCAAATATGAACGCTGGTGGAGTTTGGGGAAAATAGACCTTGACATTTGGGATGTGTAGTTGCTGGGATTTATAGTTCACCCACAATCAAAGAACATTCTGAACCCCACCAATGATAGAATTGGGGCAAACTTCCACACAGAACCCCACATGACCAACAGACAATACTGTGTTTTCTGGTGGTCTTTGGTGACCCCTCTGACACCCCCTTGGAATCCCTCCAGGGGTCCCAACCCCCAGGTTGAGAAACACTGCTCTAGTGTGTTGAGGCCCATAATCTCGAGATCAAGGGAAGTTATAATACCAATCCATTTTGTTTCATTCAGACTACAGCAGGTATGGGCAAACTTCAGCCCTCAAGCCTTTTCCTTTTCCCTCTCAGCCACTTAAGCTGATAGAATGGATAAAGTTTGCCCATGCCTGAACTACAAGCAGACTAGGGCTGGATCAACACTGGCCTCTATCCCAGGATCTGATCCCAGATTATCTGCTTTGAACTGGATGACATGGCAGTGTATGCTTATATAATCCAGTTCAAAGCAGATAATGTGGATTGTCTGCTTTGATAATCTGGATTATATGGTAGTGGAGAAGGGGCTACAAACTGAACATGAGTCAACAGTGTGATGCAGCAGCTAAAAAGCCAATGTGATGCTAGGCTGCAACAATTAAGCAGACAAAATGCACAGATACAGGATGGGTGACACCTGGCTTGACAACAGTACATGTGAAGGGTAGACTGAATATGACTCAGCACTGTGATGAGGCAGCTTGTTTTCTGCTCTTCTAGAGACAAGGAGCAATACATTCAAACTGCAGGAAAAGGGATACCACCTGATTATTAGGAGGACAGTAAAAACTGTTCAACAGTGGAATGTGCTGCATGGGAATCTGGTGGAATCTCCTTCCAAACAGAATCTGGATAGCCACTTGCCAGGAGGACTTTGATTGTGCGTTCTTGTATGGCAGACAGTTGGACTGGGTGGCCCTTGTAGTCTTTTCCAAATCTATGATTCTGTGTAACCACCAACCCCCATTCAAAGTCATGACCAGGTATCCATTCTATCAAGTACCTGGAATTCAAACTAATCTGGGAAGGAGTTAATCTAGGAGGTAAAGTAATGCCCTAGATCAGTGATTCTCAACCTGTGGGTCCCCAGATGTTTTGGCCTTCAACTCTCAGAAATCCTAACAGCTGGTAAATTCACTGGGATTTCTGGGAGTTATAAGCCAAAACTCCTGAAGACCCACAGGTTAAGAACCACTGCCCTAGATGCAGATGAAATGTGTCAAATTTCCATTTGACTTCTGCATGTCTATCCAAGTGGAATTGATGTTGGATGTCACCCTTTCAAAACTGTTGGGCTACAAGTCCCAACAATTCTCACATTCAGGTGTATTTGCTAGAGATGCAGGTATCTGTAGTCCAACAACATCAGTTTGAATCTACCACTGCCACAATCCCTTACCACTGGCCACATTGACTGGGTCTTTAGGGACTTCTAAGCCAAAACTTCTTGAGGATGAAAACTATGCGATCCTCCAGATGATTTTGGCTTTAAATCCAAGAAACCCTAGCCAATATAACCTATGGCGGATAATGCTGAGAACTGCACTCCAATAATATCTGGAGGACCATGTGAGACCCAGTCTTGGCTTGAAAAAGAAACTGGAATTACGAGGTCCCTTATTCAAATTCCTACACAGCCATGAAGCTCACAGTGCAAATTTCACACTCCAATCTTAAGATTTACTTGTTGTAAAGATAAATTGATGGGTGGAGGAGAAAATAATGGATCCAGTAGACTTGAGAGACCTTGCCAATTGGTGCATACACCACATTGGTTTAGTGCAGGCCTGAACAACATGTAGCCCTCATAAGGTTTTGGTGTGGCCCACAGAGGCTTTGAGCGTAAGGCTCCTTCTACACTGCCATATAATCCAGATTATCAGAGCAGATAATCTACATTAACTGCTTTGAAGACACCATTTCAGAAGAAAGGTTGCCTGTGCCTTACAGACAATAGCAAAGCCTTTGATTGTGTAGATCATTACAAAGTGATTGGTCATTCTTAAATAAATCAGTGTGATACAAGAGTTGACTGTCCTGATATGTAACCTGTACTCAGGACACAAATTCAGAGAAATGTAATGGTTTCCAGTGATCAAGAGCATTCCAGATGGAGAAACCCTGAGTCTGAAAGACTTGAACGATATTGTTGATGACATGGTAACTTGAGGTCTCTCTTTCATAGGATCACCATACATCAAGGTCAACCTGATGGCAATTAACAACAATGGTATAGTCTCTGAATAGCAATAGCCCAGTAATGTGTTCCTAAGAGCATAGGAGAATGGACAGCTCCAATGTCAGTGAGATTGTGAATCTATTCTGAGTTTTAGTCTTAAGTTTAAATGAGTAATTCTACCTGTTAGGTGATAGGATTCAGGACTTTGGAAAGCTCTTTGAAGGTTTTGACTAAATCCCAGAATAGGTTTGCCACTTAGGTTAGACAGTGAAGTCACTACTTCTTAAGGAGGTACCACTGAACATCCCATAAACACTTAGGACCAGAATACCCAACCAGATGGTTCTTGGGTCTGATCTACCACAGCTCTACTTAAAGAAAACTTACTAATGGGCTGTTCTCTTTCTTATGGACTTGGAATCCACAAACATGATGTATGGTTTGAGTATTGGACTATACTAGAAGATCAGAGTTCAAGGCACAACATAATTATGGAAACCCACTGGCTGACACTCTTTGAGTCCCACCCAGCAGAAGGCCATCGCATAACTCCTCTTTTCCAATTTCTACCAAGCAACTGCTGTTAATTCTGAATGGCTAAGTACTGTAAATTCCTATCCTAAACATACACCTCCATCCAAACTAGGAGATCACGCATAGGAAGATTTTCCAGCATCACTCAAAGCCCTGTTATATTTCAATATGATGACTATCCATTGAACTGCTTGGGGGAACTTTTACCATTGGCATTCATCCACTACCAGATTTGCTTATTTTCAAGCAAGGAATAAATTCCACTGAAATCAATGGGATTTACTTCCAAGCAAATGAGATTGTGCCACTTTTAAAATTATTGTAATAAATATTATTGATAGTATTTCCGTCATGTGT